TACAGCGAAGCTCCGACCATGCGAAAATCTTGGTCGTAATTCTCACTCACCCCCCGGGATTCTGGTCCGAGAGCGCAATAAATTTCTGCTCTATCATAGTCAAGGGTGGCATCTCAGAATACGATGCGAGACGTTTACAACCAGCAGCTAGCAGGCAAAGGCCGGATTCAATGTTATGAAACAAAAAAAACAAATTCAGACTGTAATCTGAAAGGATTTCTTACTGCTCGCAATTTCCAGCTTGTCACGTGGAGTGGTGCTCACTTAAGCAGAGACCGAGCTATAAGTCTTGCGATTTGTGGCACTCTTACGCTGGGCAAGAGAAAGCTGTAGCTTTTCTGCTGAGATGATTCAGACCTATATAACTCACACCCCATGAACCTGAGAGTTCATGTTCCGGGTTGCTTCAGCTTCTACATCTTACAGCGACTAGGATAATCAGTAAAATATCCATGTATAGACTTACGACATATATAGTAGGTTTTCGGTCGTGTGTTTCAGAAGAACGTATAATCGTATCGACACGGGCTCAAACTCACAGCACAAATTTTGTATTTTCTGTCATAGGCAGACAAACATTCAAAACTCGAATTAGCGTTGAGATCATATCGAAGCTTGGAAAAAAATAGAACCCTGAGCGCGAAAAAGCAAGCTGTTACATGAATCACGGGGAGGAAAAACATTTGAAGGAGCACAGCACAAATATAGCTTAGCTAAGCGGTGTGTAGCAGTCTGAAAAGACCGCGATATCCGCTTGGCTGCGTTGGCTAATTGAGATTTCACCCGTCCATCTAGCGGAGCATTGCGTGAACTGGTACTTTTGCTGTGTAACCCGCCATGGCTTTAGACTGTGCTAGATTCAGCAAGATCATCATACGAGAATTCAAAGCTGGCAAACCTTGTGAAAAAAGTCCTGTAGCCTTAATTTGTAGGCCAAGTGTTGGCCTCAAAATGCCTTGTACAATACATGTGACAACAGTATTGGGCAGAACACATGATGTCATACTTTGCGAGGGCATTCTCGGCAGACGTCATTGCACTCGAGCCCGCGTTCAGTTATTTAGAGCTACCAAAGTGCTTGTAGCTTGAACCATCAGGTTTCAAGAATGATCCATTTGTTGCTACTGTGAGTCGACTTCACTATCCATTAGAAATGATTCATCATACAATAAGACCTATCATTTGCTAATCTTGGTAAGTTGATATCTCAAATGCTGATAAGTACAATTCTGAATTCCTTTTTAATTACAGGCAATGATTGTTGAGCAACCAACAAGATTCAGTTTCCAGAGCTCTTAATTGGAGGATGAGTCAGAGCAATACTTCCTGGATTCAAGTACTGCTTTCAAGTCGTTTTGAAGTTACCTTTTTTTCAGTAGCTACCAAATGGATCATTTTTGAAACCTAAGCTCGTCATACCATGATGCCATGGGACAGAACCATCCAACTCAGTTGAGAATTAATCCCGCCCAGGAGACAAACCACCACCGCATCATGTTAATTCCGATATCGAAATACGGACTCAAAGTGACGCTCGCCGTCGCACAGCATGTCGCCAGTGTGTAGCTGGAGGAGGATACCCAAAGTGGTCATGCCATACGGTTGTCTCGTTGTTCGGCCATATCTGGTAGTGAAAGTCTTCGGCGCCGGGTATACTCGGATGTACCATTTCAATTTTCAAGACTTTTGGCCCTAAATTTCCTTTCAGGATTGGCTCCTCCACGATTTGGTAGTTTGATCCGCCGAAAGGGTTATATAGGTCAGGAGGTGGCGGTGTTAGGACAGTAACTAGTCCTCCGTCTTTAGCAATATGATAGGCGTACATAGCAGATGCACCCATCATATATCGACTCCACCCTTTGCTTGACTTTCGGGACCATAAACACCGTGCGTGATCATGAACCATCAGCGGCCCCATAACTGTTGTCAACGTCTGCATACCGTGTTGATCTGCCCAGGTCTGCACCAAGTTACGGGGCACACCGCTCCACATAACTTGACATCCAGGCTGCCATATATCGCTGTGGAAACGGCTGCAGATCTGGGTTGCCTCCCTGATAGTGAGAAAGTTGTGGAAGTTCTCCAATGTCTCTGGCGAGCACATAGATATGACTCGTTGTAACAATTCAAAAGACGTGGGTGAACTCACGGAGTTGACGGGTACTTTGCAAGAGATCCAGCCATGCTAAGTTGAAATATGTGAAAGACGAAATTATTATATCACTTTTACGTAGAGTCCCGTGAAAGTAGTCTGCGTACTGTCCTAAGTTGGCCCAAGCGGTTTTAATTGACCGCCTCCTCAAGTAGTAATTTGCCAGGCAGAAATGGCCTCACTAAGCCTGTATAGGCAGTAATCAGGCATTAATCATAGGATGACAAAGAGACATAACGTTACGCAGTCTACTTTCCTTCCACTGTATCTTTAACTATAGAGAAGTCGAACATTACCCTTGCACAGATGAAAACTTCTTATCGCCACGTGCATCTTCCGAATGCATGTGCTGAGATGGTTTTTGGCTTCCGTATAGTACATCTCACATCATCTAAAGCGCCCTACGGTATTGTCCATTCCGTTTTTCATTTCACAGGTAATACAACAGTGCGTAATGATTGGTGCGTAGGCAATTTCTGTAACAATCTGTACGCAGGGCCGGCTGTCAGTAAGAAAGACTCCATGCCAAGGCGCCTGCCCCCCACCCAGGCGCCCGTCTACTCTGCGCTTACAGCTCACTTATCTTAGGCTACACAGGTCATCTTTGTGTTGCGATATCAGTTCATTAGGTGAGATCAAATCAAGCAAGGTGATAGTCTGTGTCTGACCTCAACTGGAAGGCAGGAAAAAGCGTACATTCCCGCAATGTATGGACGAGTAAATGCTTATTTATCGCGTTTCTACCAAGCTATTACTTTGCGCCACTTCCAAGTGACGTAGAATGTCAGTCATGATTATCGCCCTGGTAGCTTTCTGTAAAGTATTGTGAGATCATTTCGACCTACGTTCAACTCCCTGTCAAATCTCTTATTTCCTTTGTAATTCAATTCAAGACCATTAGGCTTGCTATGCCAAACAATGGACAGTGAATTCAGCAAGTAAGTCACTCGCAAATGCAGCATTTTACTCGATAGGAAAAAGCTTATCTGACCAGGTGCCTCTCGTCTCCCCTTTTTACCTTTGTGGTTGGCCAGGAGAGGAAAGAGATTACCGTGCACTCTAGATCCCTGGCCAACCTATCTTCCCCTCTCAATAATCTCATGAACGGTAAAATGCAGGAGGCAAACAGACGTCAAGCCGACTGGTCAGGGGTCGAGGAAATGACATTTGTTCTGCTGTGTGAGTACGCTTATACGCGCGACTACACGCCGCCCTCGTGCTCGAAGAGAGAAATCCCACAGCCACCAGCTGAAACTGAAGACAACATTGGTAGTGAGTTGTCCTCTTCACTAGCATCACGGTCAAAGAACAAGCGAAGGCATAGAATCTGACGCCGGGTCTCTGTGGAAGCTAAAGAAGCAGAACAAGCCTCTGATCAGGCTAGCAATGCGGCAACGGATGCAGCAACGGAGCAAGAGACAGCAGCTGTATCGGATGCACCAGCTGAACCAGAAACTCCGACTGAACCAGAGATTGTGGATGAACTCAAGGCAGAGGCAACGCCAGAGGCAGAGCAGTTAAGTACTCATTTCAGCGGTCATACTTTACCGTACAGAGAAAAGAGTATCTGGACACAGCACCTTCAAGACAAGTTTAAAACTCTCAGCGTGCAGTATACAAACTCGCACAATTGTGCTTTGTCAGCTCGGAAAGACGTATTTGCTCCGAAAGGGAACTCTCACCCTTGGGAGGATTTCACCCCCGTCTTTCTTGGACATGCAAAATTATACATCTTAGCTGATAAGTACTGCATTCTCCCCCTCGCAGACCTGGTTCTGTATAAGCTGGAAACAACGTTAGCACAGTTTAATCTGTGTGAAGAGAATATAAGTGATGTGACTGAACTGATCCGATTCTCTTATCAATGGACACGGCCCAACGACGCTCTGAGGTTGTTGATCACCACCTATGTTGTATCAGTGCTTGGTCAAATAGGCGAAAATACTGAGTTTCAAGAGCTGCTAATGGATGGCGGATTTTTTGTTCTTGATCTTTGGCAAATAATGTGGTGCAAAAGTGATACCAAACATACATACGAACGTTTTCGATTGTATGCGAAAGCAACTTGACGTGCTTACTGACTGACCGTACACAATTTGAATGTGATGTGTAAAATGTATGCTCCACATTTAGCCAAGATGACAGGGCTAAGCCACATTTAGTAATTCTCTGGAAGGCTACAATCGGCGTATTACATTAGAAGGCCGAGATAACGGTAACGTGTAAGAAATCCGTAGAAGTTCCCTGCACTGGTAACGATACGGCTGGAAGATTCTACGCAAACATAACAAGCTCTGTATTACCCCAGGTCGAGAAGCCTGCTGATCGCTGATCGAAACGTGTCCAAATAAGAGGTGTCCACGTCTCACGAGCCTGGCTAGTCGATTAACTCGGCATACATCAGCTACCTAGTGGATGCGGGAAATGAGATTCACTCGAGACATAATAGCTGATTGAGATTAATGCTGTATTTATAGATGAGTAAGACATAATTACTAGCTACATATCGGGTATACGCACGCCGGTAACCTCCTTTACAATCTCAAGAGAATTATCTCGCTAAGTGTTCAATTACAACCAAGCATTGTTACCCCGCTTCGCTGAGTTATAGTCACCGTCACCACTACAAAGCCTACCAAGCGGAATAACAATGCATGGAGGGCTGATTTAGAATGTCTGTCTCTAGATTGTGACAAGTCAAATCAGTCAGTCTCGCTTCTATGCCGCATAACCTGATGCTTCTTATCGTATCCTGATAAGAAATTGAAAAAGAGGGAAACTTACTCCCCCGCCGAGATAGAGGTCCTAGTCTTCTCCGGTACGTACAGTGATGAATATATTCAAAGTTTCAATTAGCTTTGATATCGATAGAGCTGCCAGATACCAGTAATTTCTGTTGATGCCTAGGCAAGGCTCGACTCATTGGCACGGCCGGACACGTGTCTCTGCATCATACGTGGCCCGCGGAGAGAAGAAGCGACCAATATCTCCTACATGCGACCCCTTATCGGTTAGACATACAGTCAATATTCCATTCGTCATAAGTTTTCTCATTGCAGGATCAGAATGGAGACGGTGTGGCAGACGCATACATCTATCTGTCTTTGTTCTTTATAGCACGGATGCCGCGGCTAATTCTTCGACAGAGTTCTATAAACTCCGCCTAGCCATGGTTTCAGTTATTTGAGTCATCTTAAGGGTTTCCCTTTAATTGACTCTGACAGCGATCAATATGGCAGTATTCCAGAAACTACTTCAAAATCCAAGGTAGGTATATCGAATACAGTCCATATGACTAGCTAAAATAGATGCAGTATCTTCACTGATAGCCCGCTTCAAATTATTGCGGGCGAGAACAAGCGCATCTACTATGCTCATCCCACGATACTAGCATGCAACTCATCAGCGTTAAATGCCCGAATAAACGGGCCGTGGAGGGAACATGGAAACAGCGAACCGATCGACTGGTCGGATTTTGATGAGCCGACAGTAGAATGCGTCTTGAGCTATCTCTATACTTCAGACTATTATGTTCCAGGTGCAGTTTACGATGAACAGGAGAAGTACCGAGAGACGGGAAATGGTAATGTCTATCAGATGCAACTGAAAACCGCGAACATCATTGGACCAGATCCTGATCTCATCGCAGATATCGATTTGGATGGAAACTTCGACGTTTCTGACGTTGAATCACCAGTTCCAGACACCGAACTTCACAATGAATGGGAACCTGACCGACCTCTACCACCTTTGAGTCGATACAGCAGATTTGGTTTACCAGCCTTGACCTTTCAAACTGCTGCAGGTGGCTTCAGCAAAACAACAGAGAATCGTCCCGAAGCTCTCGGCCATGCGATCCTGATCCACTCCAAGGTTTATTGTTTTGCTCACCGATTTTGCTTTACCGAACTCGAGGAATTTGCAATACAACGCCTTACACAAGTTTTACTGGCATGCAATGATCTTCTCAGCGAACTATTTCCACATCTTGCAGATTCGATTCGGTTGATATACGGCTCGACACCGACTGCCGTACCTCCAGAGAATCCAGCTCGAAGACTATTATCCCGCTTTGTCGCATTGAGATATAGCGCGCTCTCAGTCGAAAACTTGGAGACAGTTATAGCAGAAGGAGGTGACTTCATGATTGATTTGTCACATCAATTGTGTAGACGACTTGCATCAAGTGGTACAGACACTCAAATAATGGAGGAACAGATTGACGAGCTTCAAGCGAGGTTGGAAGTCCTAGAGTCTGAAGCTCAAAGGAAAGAAATCCAGCTCGAGCGTTATAAGGAAGAGATAGAGCAATGGGAGAGCTGGAACCGAGGACTTTCTGGGAAATACAGCAAAGCGAAAAGGAAAGTCAAACAGGCCGTCATTGATCCTAACGAGACTAGTCTCTGATTTCGATCGATTCAGTCATTCGTGAACGCAAGGCATGGTGGGACAAGCTACATATCTGCTTTAGTTATCACACAAGCCGACAATCTCGAGGGGCTATGATTCGGTGATGCTCTTATTTTCGTGGTTAGCCTTGAAGAGTGGTGGGCCTCAGCAAGTATTCATCTGATAATATATTCAAGGCTCTACAAGACAAGGCTCTCTTTGCCATACCACTAGTTCTAGTTTACTTGGTGCTGGCAACGCGATCCTTTTCGAATCCAACAGCACACAGATATGCTCCAGCACCCACAGTGCAGGGCCAGTCTTTGAGGCGCCACGGCCTATAGTCAGGGTAATGGAAAGCCGGCCGGTCTAGCACCAAATGCGTTCCACTCCGATATATAGACCACCAGATCTTTTATAACTGTCAAGATGCTGACTGGAGACGGAACTGAGCATGACTCCTTCACAGTAGCTGGATTAATTGTAGAGAATTCAAAAAAGACTGCAGACCACGTTCGTGGCTCTTCCACAGCGCACTGTCCTTATTTATTGTTCACACTATTGCATAACATCATCTGCCGTTATTATATTCTCTGGTATACCCCGAACATTTGTGCAACCGACGCCATCAATTGCCGCGTTATATGCAGACTTCTTCCCAGACTCATGAGAATAGTAAAGGTACCATCGTGGATCGCTGCATGAACACACCAATTAACGGAAACTTTCCGGAGAGAAAGGTCATAGAATCGTGCATTCCGGTGCTCCGCCTGCGCGTACTGATCCGCGACCCTCTGAGCTTCGCGTATATCGGATTTTGTGACTGGTATACTGCACATCTTCTTCCATCTCCCGCGCTCGTAGGCTCGAAAGGTGACGGTCACTGTCTTGTCGGTATCGCCCGAAGAGGACCTTGGGCCAGCCTCGCTTCCATTAAGAGAGGAAAACAAGGTTAGAGAAATCGCTCCATCTGTATCAAATACGAGGGCGTGCTCATCTTCTCGGCTCTCAATCGGCTGTAATGCCTTCCTCCAGACCAGAGAAACGTGATTGGTGCCGGGTGTCGTAATCATAGGATCCTGCCCAGGCTCATTCTTCACCGTGGATTGAAACTCAGAGAACATAATTGAGCGGATTTGACGGGAAACCTCATACGAAAAAGAACCAGCTTCACCCACACCAAAGATTTCAGTGTCATACAACGCAATACGATGGAGGGAATCTCTGTTAACCTCAAGAAGTTTGCGCCATGTTTCGTACCTGATCATTAGATGTCTTAGCTCAAGGCATTTCAGGGTCAATCCCGTGTCGACTAATAGCTGCAAAGGTGTACTGTCTCCAATCACACATATGGACGTACTGAACTCGATTAGACCTTTCAGCGATTTCGATATTCTAGAGAACATCGGCCTTTCATATAGGCAGAACGGTACCTCCGAGAAATCCAATGAAATAGTCCCTGAAGCAATCCCTGCATTCTTGGAAGCCCTCAAAGCTTCAGTCACTGTTTGAGCATGGTGATTGAAGGACTGTTCGAAGTCACAGATGTTGAGATCAAGGCATGAGACATCCCAGACTCCTGTATCGATGGACTCGCAGAACTGTATTGAAAGCTCACTAATTCGAGGAAGAAGTTCGAGAGAGGCTATCAACATTTTTAAATCGAACTTCCTCCTCGTTATCCTTTGATGATCTTCGCAGAGGTGCTTGATGGTACTGTAGATTTCCATATATGGAGGGAAAGTGCCTGTAGGGTCTTCACCATAAAACTGTCTTGTCGCTGTAGAATAAGCTTCGGGCGTGAGAATTTCACACTTGAAATACTCAAAATCTAAGAGGCCTTGCGTCATTCTTAGACTGCTTTCTCGCAGCTGTATTCTTCAATTTACTCACTTGGTTTCAGCAACGTTGGGGCTCTATAAGTCAGAATTCTAACATGTTTGCTGGCTTGAGACTTCGCGAAATCTCTTAGAGCACGAAGGCCAGGATGTGAGAAAGTAAATCGAACGTGGCGAAAAAGTATTGGAATAGAGATCTCTCGTAACCTTCCATTCACACAAGCAAGGCTCTGCAGGTCATTGAGACAAAGATATTGTAAAATCAAAAGTAAGATCTCTGTAGGGAGCCATTGAAGATTTAGGATTCGCGACTCCATTTTCTTATCCCTAGTACGTTATTCGGCAACAAGAGGATTTGTAGGAATAATCAAGATAAACTGCACTTTCTTACTGCAAGCCAACCTCTATATAGTCCTTAGGCCTCTGCTGCGTGGTAATACGACAGATGAGCTCATTTTCCCGAATCAGGAATTAGCGCACTTGTGCCGCAGGTCTTGTCAATTACCGCGGGCAGAAACCACTAATACCGCAGGTCTCACACAACTCTCACGTTAAAGTCTTAGCGCTTCAGTGATTGGCCGTTAGGGTGTCCGCAGCAGAACTAGCAATCACCTAAGCTATGGCAGTCAGAACGAATGTAAATCGGAGACAGGAGTACTTGATGTAGTAACCTAGGTGGCAATGCCCAATATTCTCTTAAATCTTGACTCACAATGTGTCAAATAAGTCAGTCACTTCAGCTCCCTGCTATTCTTGATTTGCCGAAGGCGTGATGGTGCGCCTTTTCATTGGTCAAAATCTATGAGATAAATATGCAGTGGAGGCTAGGCATTGGAACACTAGGAAGCTCTTGGACGACATGATACTAGAATTCTTCTATTCACAATCAATTATAAAATAGGCCAGAACCACGCTGCGAAGTTGTCTTTGACCATATTCCTCCATAATTGAAATGAGTCCGTGAGTGAAAGAAATTTTACAGTATCGAACTACGCTGTCTAGAACCCTAAGCTCGCATCTTACCTCAGAGCTCATTCAAATTTGCCAACATGGTCCCGGAAGCTGCGCTTCCATGAACTTGGCCATATCTCCCATTAAAGAACAGCACTGCACAAGAAACAGCCTCTGATTCTTAAATCATTCGCTATGAGCAATCACCAGATCTTGGCATTTCTGGAAACGCTATCCGCAAACTCTCCTCTTACGATGACTTCGTCGGCTACAACGCCTGCTGACCACGTGACTACATCACAGCGATATGGATCACTCGAAGAAAATACTAGCATAGCATATGTCTCAGCGATATCTGGTAACAGCGAATTAATACGAGTAAGTATGCGAATGCTCAATCCACTAGCCTCAATACTAAGACTCATCAACACTAGAAACTCGCAGACCACGAGCAAATGGTCTCGCAGGTCGCCCTTCAATTCCGTGCCCAGCCAGAACTTAATGATCTCATCGATCATGTAAAGAAGCTATACAGTATCATCAAACCTTTCACTAGAAACTTGGGCACCCACACTTTTCTATCAGGAGCAGAAACATTCCCGATGACATCTAACTCGTCGAACTCGTTCAGGACAGCTAGGTCACATCTTACAGGACCCAGCCAATCAGATACACTGGAGAATTCTACAGCTTCGCTCCTTCCTTCACTGCGACCGTCCCCACCACGGCGGCGGACAAACGCTAGAATAAGAGACGTTCAATCCTGGACGAATCTACCACGGCAGATGCACTGCCGCGATTCGGTGAAAGATATCAGACGATTTCTCGGATCCTTTGGCTCGACAAACCGCCACGATCTAAATTTGACTACACGTCTTTTCTTTGCCGTAGGTAGCCCCTATGCTATTCTTCAGCTTCGGGATATTTTTAAAGCCTTGAAGAGGAATGATGCATTATTACCTTTCTCAAAACCCAGCACCTTGAAGACTGCCGTGCAGGCCATCGCACGGTCGGGAGATCTGAAGTTGGTCGCGCGATTGCAAAACAGAATAAGTCGATTCTATCTGGTTAACATATATGAACGGAGAGCGAGAAGGTTATATGCCAATAACCAGCGTCCCCGAAGTTTTGCAGACTCAGAAGTATTGTCGGCTATTATCATTGAAAACCAGCCTGACCTTGAAAGCGATAACGAAGAGCTCCAAAATCAGATGAAAACGCTCCGAAACCTTCTATATTCCTCTAGAAACTGGTATCGTTTGGCTAGTCGTTTTGGGGTCGGTATTCTACTATTAGTACCATGGGGCGGTGAATTCGACATTTATGATTCTCAGTAAGTCTGCCATGGATCAGAGAATTTGACACACAAGGTTAACCATCAGCTGTAGCATTCAGAAGATCTCACAACTTGAATTTGATGGGTTTGTCAATTTACTGGATGAGAAGCGAGGCGTTTTTCTGAGGAGATGTAGTAGAAGTGGAATTCAACGTTTTCGAATGCTCTCTAACTTTGAGACAATTTGCCCGACTAAGCTGGAGGAAATTGCAACAACTGAGGCTATTACTGAGAAGCATTTCGATTCGGATGGACTGCTGGATTTATTGAGACCTGTGTGACTATTTTGCCGGAATTAGGTAACAATGAAATCCGAATATGGCTAATCAAAACAGCGATAATCCCCTCTCTTACTTAATCGTGAACATGGATTCCATTTTAGCCATTCCTTCAGGGCCGATACTGGCGCCCAGCACGATAATAATCCGACAATATACTCCGGTTGACCCTGGTGATTTTGTTAGTACGGTGGGGAGGTGCAGGGATTTGTATCCTTCAAGCGGTGTGTCTACCACCAAGCACCGCCTTCCTTATCAAGCTACGTGTCAAATTCGTGAAGCCGTACACACGCTTAAATTCTTGATATATACTAATTCTTGTTGTTGCAAAGATGCCTTCTACACCAGAGCCTAAGCCTGAGCCTGAGCCTACCTCTCCAAAAACACCTCATTCAAAGCGCCTTAATCGAGATGATCGACTCCGAGTTCTTACTCTTCGTGATGCTGGCTTAACATATCAACAAATTACAAAGCAGCTTGGATTCAGCTATCGCCAAGTACAATATACGTGTCAAAGCCAACAAGCTACACTTCGAAAGGCCAAAGGCAATCCACCAAAGCTTTCAGAAGAAGATGTTGATAATATTATACAATGGATATCGAGCTCCAAACGTACACGCCGTTTGCCATACTATCGCGTTATTGAAGAACTTGAACTACCTGTTGGAACTACTGCCTTGGCACACGCTCTTAGAAAGCGAGGCTATTCACGCTGCAAAGCTCTTCGGAAACCACCTCTTTGACCGGCCAATAAACAGGCAAGGTTAGCTTGGGCACTTGAACACTTAAATTGGACTCGTGATCAATGGAATCGAATTCTTTGGACTGATGAAACCTGGGTAACTTCAGGCTTTCATAAACGGATATATGTGACTCGCAAAGTCGGTGAAGAACTTGATGAAACCTGCCTTCGTACAAATCCACCGCGTAAACGTGGCTGGATGTTTTGGGCTTCATTCCACGGCAATTCCAAAGGGCCCTGTCTTTTTTGGGAGAAGGAATGGGGCAGTATTAACGCCGAGCGTTATTCCGAGCGGATTGTTCCAATAATCCATGGTTATATACGTTTAATTGAGCAGGAAGAACAACAACGGCTTCAATTGATGCAAGATAACGCACCCGGCCATGCAAGTAAGGATACTATTCAAGAACTTCGAGAGCGTGGAGTCTTTCCAATTACTTGGCCTGCTTTTTCACCAGATCTCAACCCAATTGAGGCTGTATGGAACTGGATAAAAGACTGGATGGAGCGTTTTTTTCCCAATGATGAACAGCTATCATATAATCGGCTACGTGAGGTTGTACGGGCTTCTTGGGATGCCTTACCAGAAGCATTTTTGGAGGAATTAGTTGACAGTATAACGGCGAGGTGCGAAGCGGTGATCAACGCCGCAGGTGGCCATACAAAGTATTAATAATCATATATACGGCAGAATTCAAAGGATTCAAATCCCTGCACCTCCCCACCGTACTAACAAAATCACCAGAGTCAACCGGAGTATGTACGACTGGGGATGCTCGATTTAGGAGACTTTGACACGTTTTATTTGTAGTACCTGACACCGCGGAGTGAATGTGATCGCGAGAGACGTTGCGAAGAGTCCTCGTAATCGAACGCTAGCCAGCCAGTGAAGCTGTCATCGCTTGGGGTAGGTGAGTAAGAATTATCTTACGAGTTGAACGCGTAAGCCAACGCATTAATCACAAACCACCGGTAAATCCCAGGGGGTTTAACCAATGCTCAGTCTTTCACAATCATGCAACATGGTACGGGAAATGTATCAGTAGCATAACTTGGTGAGATTGGAAGGTGAGATTGGAAAAGGTAGCAGCTGAAGACTAGCTCTCGTAATTCAAAGCCAATAGTTTTGTGCAACCGTGGGGTTAGCTTCTGCGACGCTGTGCCCTTGAGACCAACCAGCGTCAGTAAACCCGCAAGGACGCACGTAGATTGCCATAGAGTTCTTGCTTCAGCCTTAGACATGAATATACTCAAAGTAAAAACTGCCGGCACTATGCCTTCAGTCGTTTATTAACCTGCGAAGCGATACATTACACGAGGTAGTAGGGTTTGCATGTGACAAATTGAACTAGGTGCGTTAGAAATTCCGTGGAATGACGATAGCGGATACCATATCGTCGCGGCGAGACTATACAAGCCAGGCCAACGAGAGGCGACAGGCCAGCTACAAAGAGGCAAATGAAAGTTGGATACGAAAAAAGACCCATTTGAGAAATAAGCTGGGCGGCGATTAAGCTTATATACCATAAATCGATAGTATCACGTGCTAAAGTTCCCGGCCACCGACTGCTCGCGTGATAGCGGACCCAAGTGAATACACTTAGCTCGTTAGTTTTCCCGCTCTCGTCTATTCGTCTTCTTTCACCCATTGATTCTGGCGATAGCACACCTGTCCAATTTTTATTGTCTACCATAGCTTTTGCCCCCGGCCACCTGCTCAGCTCGTCCAATTCTTCGAGCGGATTGATCTCCTTTTGCTGTTGTGCTTCCATTCTGTTGCTTGCGTCGTATTCTAGGACCTGGCCCAACATTCATCATCATGCCTTTCCATGGTTTAAGACGAACTAGAGCGGCGCTCTCGGTTCATCTTGGGATCAGACCTTTCTGAGCTATTGACGTAAACTGGTGCAAAAATCTTCGTCCAGCATTAATCCACCACTTCAGTGATCTCTTAACGGCTGATGCGTCTTGAAGTGTCAGAAAACTCATATTTGTTGGGCACTGCGTTAAGCAAGGTGCACAGTGACTACTAATATTTTACCTACTATCAAATCAGCACTAGAAGCTATCTGCTTCGGGGGTTGGGCAAATGCAGGGATTGAGAAATGATCAGCACGTGTTTTGTAAACGTGAAATAACGTACTGTGTAGATAGACCACCCAAGCTGCTCGGAGCCTGCTGCTAGTGATTTACGCTTTGATGCAACAGTAGTGGTGCTTCTTCTGCCTGGCGGCTTGCTCTGCTCGCAGACACCCAGTCTTTCCTTACTGTCCAGTCGTTAAGAGGGATAGATTGATGGTAAGTGCGTCAACATATAAGCCATAATGACACTTGGGCTGTAATAACACTTAGCGATCTGGTTTCCGCGGGTGCTCGCGTTATTGCCCGGTATTGATAATCAAAAAGATGCGCTATATTATCACACAGAAACATACCAGGACAAGTGACGTTAATTTCGAGAGTTTTCAAGTAAAGAAAATAATTCTAGAAACTCAATGCTAGAGCATGGGAAGGAAGATTTTGGGGACAGAAGCGGCGTCCATGATTTCTTGACTCGCCGGAAGAAGCCATGTGAGAGCTACAATAGCACTAATTAAGACCGGTCGCCTTTAGTGCTTACCAGGGTACCTTGAGTAGCCGAAGATGCCAGAGCTAACGATTTCATTCGGCGTAAGTTTACCCGCGCCCATGCCTGGATTACCCCCTTTAAATTACTGCCATTACAGCCGAGTCCCTCTCCTATTGATACCTTGACGGAAACCAAGTTCTTTGAAGTATTTTATTTTGAGTCCTTGAAAATGAATTGGACATATGCTGAGCAAGTGTCAGCTCTTATCTCTCATTGGCATTCTTTGTCGAGAATTGCAGCCGCTTTCGTGCGCGCTAATTCGCCAGCTCTCTGAAAGGGCATACCATGGGGGTTTTATACCGGGTCGCGATGTCTTGACTGTCAGAGACGAATCCACCGTAATTACGGCTAGCCGACATGATACAGACAACGAATGCAAGTATTTACTTTCCCTGAGGGTCTGTCCTCGCTGTATGCACGAATGCAGCGTGGGTAAATGTGACCTTCTCGAAACTGTTAATTGAGCCATCCCTAACCACTTTCTTCGCAGCATTTCCAGATGGTGCAGCATCCCCGGCTAGGCTGCAATCGATCGAGGCGGGCATTTCCCAGTGCATGAGTCCCTCTGACGTCGCAAATCACCCAGAAGTAAATTCTGAGAGTTTCAGAGCACTTGTTGCTTTGGGCGGTGGTGAGCCTTCTGGGGATACACTGACCGACGTGAGGGTATCACGAGGTGTTAGTCAAGAATCTTCCCGCGAGACAGTTCAGAATCCGGACAGGACCCGTAAACGACCGAGGCCCGTGCCAGAATCTGCTTTGAGCCTGACATTTGACGAGCACATTATATACGCGCTTCTGTCACAATGTGAATTCGCGAAGGAAAGACGGTTGAACCATGAAGAAATCCTGCAAGTCCTGGACGTGCAGAGGCACCTCGTCGTCAGAAGTCCGCGTCAAATCCTTGAGCCTATTTCAACCTGCTGGGAAGAAAACGTAGCCCATGGGTTGCTTCCGGTCGGTATTACCACTTTATGGTTTGGTGTAGAGGCCGCGGCGAAGTGTATCGGCGACCTCGAAGCCGGCCCCTATTCCGGACTCTTTTGCTGGTAGAACAAAGTGTTTTGTATTTTATTTGAACTACGCTGTACTCTCCAGTGGTCCAGACAGATTCGGCCTGCGCCCCAAAAGAGGCTGAAAAACAAGCCATCTGATAGACTTGATCACGCAGCATCTGTAGGATGGTCCCTTTGAGAGATGCAGTACAAACACTTGGCGCAAAGCAGTTCACAAGTACCGACAAAAGGGGTTCCGTTTGTGGCCGCTCGCAAGTGTACTTGATTTCGGTTTTCTTCTAGCCACCGACGCTGCTGTAATTGAGAAATTGAGAGTCAACTACTCAATCTATGTCTTAACCGCTGACGCGAGTCTCAGAACGACTCACACCTTCACCAACAGTCAAGTGGATGCAGTTATTACCTTTTTTTACACCCGCCCCGGAACACTGGAATACTTCCATTCCTTGGAGTCTGTGTTCAGAAATCTGGTTTTCGCGGAAAGGACGCTCGATACTGAGGGAATAAATACTCAGGATTCGCTGACTCAGCTACGGTGTAGCTCGCGACTCAATCTGACATAGTCGCAACTGGCCGAAATGCAAGAGAAAGATGAGGTGCGATACAATAATCAACATTCTGGCTGTTGTTGAATAGTGATCGACTCCAAGAGACAAATTACGCCAAAGGCGAAAGAGCTTTATAAAAAGCATTACGAAGTGTGGAGAGGTTTTTGCTTACCACAATTGACCTGGTCCCATTGGAGGACTTGATAGGTACGGTCGCGTATGCACCGTCGAACTCTCATTACTGAGAAAACGTCTGTCATCCTGCATCTCTCTCCCGTCCAAGATCCGCGAAAAGCCTATCTCGCTGGGCATACGACTTTTTAAGGCCCCGTACAAGATATGATCAATCCCTGTAGCCTTTCTTGCTTGACGTCGCCGTACTAGTAAACTTGACCTTACCCATATAACTTTCCTGAGCGTATTGTTACAGTCAGGACGATACGGAACTTTGTTCGGTGCGGAAGCCCGTGCGCGAGGCGGCATAACAGTAACAGCGAATTTACCCAAGGGGAAGACGGAGTCAATGTGATTCCGCTTCCGGACTCGCCACACCCAGCCCTCTTATACTCTCTTTTTCCCTTTCCCCATCTTCGTAAGTAGTATCCTTTCTTATTTCACGCTGGCAGACAACCACCTATTCAGCTCTACTCTCCCTCTCGCTGTCACATTATCCCACGTAGAGAAAGTATTAGCTACTTGCCGTACTCGCCGCCAGGCCTGCCATTCCTGTGTTCTCATAGGACTCTCTGATTTCACTTGTTGATTTTGGATTGGGCAGGCACTCGTGACCAGGCCGCAACGGTTTCTACAACTCTACTCTTTCTTCGTCATCTCCATCTTCTGTTAACATATTCGAGTCAGGGCTGCTTTTATTGTCTCAAAGCCCGGGTGGGAGGGTAACTCGATTCGTCGAGGGTTTCTCTTTGATCTCAATTTCCTCGCAACAGCATCATGACCGAATTATCGACAAAAATGCCGTGGGCAACAGGCGTGAAGAAAGTTCTTATTTCTACTTCTACTCTGGACAATCCCTCTGTGGCTAGTATCCGTCTTGCCTACCATAAATACACTAATCAAGGATGCATTTCCCTCGGTATCAATGCAAAGTCGGGTAATTCGAGCGGGCAAAATCCACTTTTGTTCAGAATCTCTCCGGAGTCAGTCAAAACGTGTAGGTTAATCTTGGTAAGCGACGAAACACTATGTCCAGAATATTTTATTACAAGACTCCAGACAAGGGCAAAGAATGTTCGGGACATCTCATTACTTATTCTAGAACTTGATCGGGCGCTTGAGGAGGAAACTGTTCTTTGCCCGTCTAATCTGCCGTCTCCAGTCCCTGCAGCGCATAGGGACTTGAATTTCGCCGCTTTTGCAAGGATTTGTGAATCCAAGTCTCTACGAATCTATTTCGGTCGGCAACAATTTAGGGATCACGAACTCGGTATACTGAGGACCTTTGTCCATGACCTAAACACAAAAACTCTCAAAGCGGTGTCCTCCAATGAGGCCCGCCAGGGCCGGGTTGAAAGACGCTGGAAGGATCTGAGTGTATGGCTTGACAGACCACCTGATTATGAGGAGTCTGCGTCCGAACGGGTGCAGCAAGTGAATCCACCTCCATATCATGATAAATCTAAGCTAGCCCGTGCGGGTGAGAAACGGCCCCGAGGTACCTTCAACTCCAATATTCTTCTATACTTTATCTTCTACAATAGTTTGTTGATTGTTTATAGATCACTCTTCATTACCACCCGAGGATGACGGACGAAAACGACCGCTCTTGATTTTCCCAGAATCGCAATGCTGTCCTACTGAAGTCAATACACCGAGTCCTCCCCCTTCACCGGCCTCAATCCGAGCAACCGACTTTACGCGTCATTCCCCTCCAAGACGCACGGAGCGTGACACACTTGCGCGTTTTGAGCATATGCTCTATGGTGCTTCCGATGATTTGATCCGCAAATTATTGATTCGCTTAGTATGTCGATGTCTACCGGCCATATCTGATGATTTTGAGGGTAATTTACTCTCTGATTCGGAGAAAGCCATTTTGACCAAGATCGAATTGATCGAACGTCACCTCGAACGACTAATCGATGCGAAGATCAAATCCATCCTTGAAACACATATCCTGAGGGAAATTGTTCAGGAGATTGTCGACAGTGCTTTAAGCGAGTGTTGTGACAAGGTCTTGGATGAATGTGCAATGCATAAAACTGAATTTAGCGAGCACGTTGACGATAGTAAGACCGACTTACGCATCACAGCCGACGATTGTATGAAGGAGATGGAAGAACACGCCCAAAAGCACATGGATGAAATAGAAGAGCAAGCGCAACAGTATATGCATAGGATTGAGGATCAGGCAGCAGAGGCTGAGATGTCTGCGAAAAAAACGGGACTCAATTTAAAGCGATGGTTGGAAACGTCTGCCCAGTCTCTACCTGCGAGCAAAACAAGGCCTAGTCAGGGGGTGCTGAGCACCAAGGGCAGACGCAGCTCCTTCTAGTGGATTGGTAATAGACACGCAGCTCCTAACATTGTTGTCATGGACTTCAATGGTTTATAGGCTAGTAAGACAATCAGTGAATGAACCAGCATCGAACAATAAGACCATTCTCGACGCGTGACTTCAGTTGAAGGGGATTCCGTCAAAGGCCCGACATGGGAAGCCGAACAGCCAGTGATTAATTGTAGGCTCGACATGACGTCAGAGGCTGGATCCTCGGGGCCGCAGCAGTTTTCCGTCAAGGTTGGCTGAAGTGTGGTTTGGAACATGCAAGGCCACTGTATCAAAACGTAGCGCCACATTAGTTTTTTCTTACTCCTAGGAAAAGAATGATACTGTCGCGTTTAGATACCAAGGAAACCAATGTTTAGACCGAGGTTTCAGTTGAGAGCAGCACTTACTGCATAATTAGTTCTGCGGGAATTCTTCAAAGGGCAGCTGGATCCCTAACAATCGATCGTTATTGATTGGTCAGCTCACAACTCCTGCGGCAGAAAATCCTATTTCAAGCCCATGGTGTCTTAGTCTGCTGCAGTTCTCCGCAGCACTTTGGTGTGAAACGAGATTTTCGTTACTTCAATCGGATAGACGGTTCCGTTTGGAAAGTGAGAGCTTCCAGAGTGTATTTTTGAGATAAGGCGCGCCCAGCGAGGCCGAATCGGCGGCTGGCGTCGATGTCGTGCGGCTTGAGAGTGACAACGGCACGAGAAGTTTCTTCTGGAAGGCTGAACATTTCGAGATCGTTCTCACATTGCTAGTCTCTAAATGAAAGACCTATGCTTTTAAGCTGGCTGTCATGTGAGTTTTTCCGTCACAAGACGAACTTCACAGAAAGGAAATGGTGATGTGAGGGCTTTTTCAAGTCTACTTTATCATGATTTGTGCCTTCATAAGAATGCCAGCTTGTTAAAAAGTTCTTATACACCATTGCTTGAAGCATACATAACAGAAAGGTCCCCACAAGCTAGTCACTGATCTAAGACGAAGCTCCTAGGTCACAAATAGCCCTATGCTGCTATGCTTCCCGTGACACCTTTAATAGATATAAACGCCATTCAGAACGATCAACATGTGTCTAGACAAGACCTGGAAAGTTGTTCACGTTCTCTTCCGCATCATGTAACGGTGGCGTTTTGCGGGAGGTCGGGTTTCAGTCTCTACCTGGTCAAGGGCCTGAGAGATAAGTGATAACAGCTGCCTTTCCTTGCTAATTCGACCCTCAGCTACAAGCTGTTGCTCCTCATGCTCTGGAATTAGGAAGATAGCGTTATTACCATCAGCTGTAGCTCCGCGATAGCATTGGGCAGGGCTGAGATTTTGTAAGTATCGATCATACAGGCAGAATTTTTTTCGTGCATATTTCTTCGCCATTCGCTCTACTGGCGCTGTATTCGAGGGGTTGACCTTTATATAGTCGGTTTTTCTCCAGTGCTCTCGTTCAAAAACCCAGAAAGAGATTTCCACGAGACTTGGCGGCTCCTTCTGGTCTGTAGCGTTAGGGGCAGCATCAGCTTCGACAGAGCTTTGCGCACTGCTGGTGACATTTGTAGCACCTGGACATAGTGAGTCGCTGTTCTCGACCAAGGATCTCGACTCTCCATCAGAAAGATATATTGCTGCTGATGTTTCAGCAGTTTCCGGATCAGCAGCCTGTGGAGCTTTTGGTTTCATGTTGTGCTTGCTCTCTGATAATTGAGTAGCATTGGCATTTTGTGTTGAGCCATAGGGTTCGTCAAGGAGAGTGGGATTCGGACCTGAATGATCTTGGTAGGGATGACCGAACTCCTCTTCGAATCTCTCACGTTCCAGGTCTTCCTCCACGCGTTCCTGCTCCTCTTGAGCTCTTATCACATTTTCAATATAAGTATCTGAGACTCGCTGTTCATGTATGCCAGCTTCGGAAGCGGTGTCGCTCTCGGATCTTGTGGAGTGCGTATGCGTTGGACCACCAAACTGCAAGTGGTTTCGTGATGCAATTGCTTCAAGCTGTTCACGTGGCGTGAGTATGTCTGTTATTTCCTGCTCGAGTGCAGCGAATTCCGGGGAAAGGGTCGAGTTTTGACCATCCTCATCCACGGTGTAGACGGAACCTGAGCAACGTTCAGGAAATTGGAATTCGGAGTCATCGATAAGCTCTGTCTGCTCGAATGTAACACTGCGGCTTGGAGCTGCTGATAATCCTAGGCTGACCGCACCCGATTCAGTTTGTGAAATCATAGCCCGACAAACTTCATGGGAGTCTGAATCTGCACATTCTTGATCATTCATGCCACTATGCGACGATTCCGAACTCAGCCAATCCAGTTCCATTGGCTCCTGGCTCTTAATATCTTGAGCACGCTTTTGACGCTTCCGTATTGTGATCTTTCTCTTTCGTCGCGGTCTTAGATTACTTTTCTCTCTTCTGATCCCTGTTGTTCGCTGGTCAGGTAGAGGCCGCTGATCTAAGCCCTGCTGTATCTGTGGTTCTGATATATCCTGTGGTTGGGGTTGAGGCTCCTGTTCTGCCGGCGGGACAAATTGTGAAGTGAATTCGCGTTGATTCGGAAGATCTTCATCGCCAACAAACAATGGTGACCCGGGAGGGTCATCGGCAGGTAGGTCTTGATTCTGCTCGCGCACGTCTGGCTCCGCATCTGTCAGATTTCCAAAGAATGCCTCGAACACACAGCGGCGGACAAAGAAGGTGGTAATCGTATCAGTCGCATCTAAATCATCAGAGCACAAACGATCCAGAAAAAGATGGTGCCGGTCTTGCTTGTGGGCTCCAAATGTGGGCATGCCGCAACGCGCCTGGCGGCCAACGATGCTATCTGCGAGAAGCTCGTGAACCAACACAGGATCGGCAGGAATTGCGGTCGCGAAGCACTCCACAATTCGATTGACCAGAGCGTCAAAATCGTGAGGAGGGTATCGGAATCGGTAGGATTTTCTAGCCTGTAGTAAAGCTGCTCTTGCGATCTGATGATCTGGACAACTATCCATTATAGCATCGATTTCCAGCGATCGAAAGCCTAAACGATGAGCGAATTCAGCCATCTCGTAGATCACTCTCTCATCACGGAACCTCTCCTGCTTAGCTAATAGGCCATCTTCCTGTTTTGGCTCTTGGGGCATTAACGGATAGTGCCGCATCGCATACAGCCAAACCTGCAGGTATGCCTTATTTAGACGCACTGCGTCAGTGGCATGCTCGGACCTAAACGTAGACTCTGAGGTTTGAATTAAACTTTGAGAATCAGAATGATCGGATGGGTCGAACATGAAACTCATGGTTTTCCAGATGGAATCGGTCGACGGTCCAAATAGTCGTTTCACACAGTGAGCGCAGCTCTCCAAGTACTTGAAGTCTTCGAAAAAGGTATACAAAGATGGAACCGGTCTTTTGGTATCTTTCAAGCGGTCCCATATTGCTCTACGTTCTTCTTCTTCAACAGCTGCAAATGCACGTCCACCTAAAACTAGCCCAGCCGCCGTTTGCGCGTCGGAACGAGTCTTTCCTGGAGCCAGTAGTTGCAGAGAATCGACCGTATCAGAGTCAATCTTCTTCATCGCATCGGCATCTGAGGCCACTAAAGAGGACCAGAACTTCCAAATATAGTCTAAATAGGTGAGGATCTCCTAAAGGATTGTAAGCGACTTGACTGGACTTGGTACAATTTGGAATTCACCTCTATACAGTTAGTAGCGATAAGACGATGAATCATACTGATTCTCATCCCATGTTGCCAAAGTCCTGGTATCAAAAGTAATCGATCGAAACCTCGCCGAAGACGGCGATTTGCTTCTTTGCCCAATTGTTTGATTCGGTCTTGATTGTTGGCTGACAGTCGAACAAACCACCTCTCCCGGAATGCTTCATTCCCCTCATCTTCGTATTGTCGTATTTTCCGGTAGATTTCCCCGTCGGTCGGTTTCTTCTGATTGGCATATTCCTCTACAAGAGCGGTCTTTAGGTCTTCTCCAATGTCTGCTTTCCGAATCAGTAGGCATCCTTGTACAGAAAGGAGGCAGCAAATGCACCATCCAAGTAGATATCAACGCTCCACCAGCGATCCGCCGGAGGGAGCAGCTCGGCTCCCGCCTGTATTCGATGACGTCCGTGGAGCGCCTGGAGCTCTCCGGTTGGGAAATCCAGCAGTGGTAACTGATCGCGATTATTAGTCAGCTGTGACAAGGCTGAAATGTTTGCCTTCCTGAGTGCGACATCTAGGTTATGCCGAGATACTACAGCTGGAACATGGTTATCGACATCAAGGCGACGACACCGATTCTTCCGAAAGATCTCCCGTAGCCGACTAACATTCTTGGGATCTAAGTCTCGGGGCAATGGAGGGTCGAACTGAATCTGATTTAACTTGACCTTGGCGGTTCCCAGGTACTTGAGCCGCCGCTCTCTAGCTAGGCGGACCTCCTCCTCGGTGAATAGAGCCCGATACATCGCAAGTTGATAGGATAAGATTGCATGGAGAAGATGTTAACAGGCAAGCCTATTCCGCTCTAGATATACGTTGTAACAGCCCGCAGCTGTAAGCTTAGTGTATACGGATCCGTACGCTGGCCGCAGGATCCCGCAGGAGTTTTTCAGACTCAAAAACCTCCATCTTGCTCGTCGTAATTCTGATTATCTATGCTAACACAATTCTTCTCACTCATTACATACAGTCATGCAGTCCAGAGACGCTAGACCAATTACTCAAATTCTGCCATATGGCGTCAATCTTCCGGATGCCTTTCCGGCTGGAACGGAACAAGCGACACGTATCCCATCTAAGCCCAGTGACAAGCACCTTGAAAATCCGTCATCAAAGGGGCGATTCTTTGAGCAAAGGACTGCAGCTCCTCTGCTCCCAGTACCTGGCCGTAAAATTATTCACGGCCAACCACGGGCTTTAGCTCTTCCTAGTATCACTGAATCAGAAGATGATGCCCTTTCGGATCCAATTTTACGAGAGCAGTCACCCTGGGATAATTTCAAGCGATACTATGAGTGTGATCTGGCTGGCGCTGTCATAGTCTCTGTCCGGCACTCTGGTCATCGCGAAGCCTTGGCAGTTCGCCAGTATCGGGGAGAAGAGGCTAGCAAGATTCTACAGGTTGTTCGCCGCATTCAGCACGACAATATCGCGTCAGTGCAAGAATTCTATAAGACCACAAATGCCCTTTATACTGTGGGCTCATTCCATCCGCTGACTCTAGACCATGTGGTCGCTTGCAAAGCATTTCCTGACCAAAAGCAGCTTGCTGCCATTATGTCTCAGGTCCGTTCCTCCGCTTCCCCTGTGTTTGTGTAAGCCAGCTGACAACCTTCAGTTTCTGGAGGGATACTCATATCTAGTCACTCATGGATTCCAAAATCCCTCGCTTGACTGCTCTGGTATCTTGATGAGCATGGCAGGAGACGTTCAAGTCGGTAAGCTCAATTAATAAACGCGGATAGAATCTATTTTAACGTGACCATTAGCACGTCTTGATTGTTGTCGAGTTCGACCTCCGGGTAAGGTGGAAGCGATTGATCTGGCACCTATTGCAAGGGTCATGATGGAATTGATGCAAAAATATGCTAAAGATGATGGAAATATTGGCATTGAAAATCTTGATCGCTGGCCAAGTGATTGCCCGGCAGTTGTGTTTCTCTCCGCAACGACCTCGGTTGGCTCGTTCGAAGAATTAAAAAAGGTTTTTGCTCCCATCTTTAGTATCAAACCCTACTTACATGCTTGCAGCAACCGCTTATGACCAAGATTAGTTGGTCTAAGGGTGACTTGATCGGTCTTGCATGGTTCGCTCTTATATCTGCACGCACGTTCTATTCGTACCCACTTAGGTCGTAAGGAGACAAGGAAATGACTTTTCTATCAAGCACAGACTTAAACTTGGGAGTTGCCCGCCGGTTTATTCGGCAATTGGTTAAATAATCTTAAGATGTAATCGTGAATAGTTGCGTGTATAGCTTCATCGGTGGCAGACTCTAGGCTGATTTCATTTCAATCCAAGTTCACAATGAGGGCGAAATTCTATCTATCCATGAGTCACTATACCAACTTCTATCACGCTGATAAGACTGGTAGTACAGTAAGATATCAATTCAAAGCATTTTCCAGAAAATCAGACAAAAAAAAGGGAAGCTCCCTGATACCGTACATGCCCAGGCCCGTCCTATTCGCAAACTCGATGTAGCTGACACTGAAAGTATAACAGGCTTCCGTTGTCTTTGGAAATTGGGAGATCGTTATAGCCCTGAGAATTCGTGCTGTGCTACAAGCACTATAAGGTAAATAAGTCAACCGGCTAGTGTGCTCTGCCGCGAGTCTTTCAAGACATTCCTGCTTACTAAAGCGGTTATGGAGTGCGACGGAATCCGCAAGCCGGAAGTGGGGGGGCTCAATACCACAGGCCAACATGGCCCTGATCAAGTACACGTGATCTCCACAGGCCCCTCCATGTGCTGTGAGCAAAATGTTGTTCATCTCCTGATTGCCCCGCGTTCTCATGGAATGTACCATACGCGTCCATTGAAGAAACCTCGTGATGGCAGCAGTTAAATCCTCCGCTATCACGTCGAAGATTTCCGGTGGGATGACTTTCAGATTTGGGCTTTGAGTCGCTCGGATAGTTGTCTTTATCACGGCGGAGAAATTCTCACCGGTGAGTGCGAACGCGGATAATTGTTCAACCTGCCCATTCGCACTCAGCTGTAAACTGTAGAAAATCACGGTAATCATGCTCAAGTCGACGCATAAACTATCGTTGACTCGATTTCTGACTTCATTTTCAGAAAGTTCTAGGTGCTTGAGGCAGTACGAGAAGCCGATCCTAAGAGCCAGCGAGTCGTGTTCTCCGCGAGCAGAAGTGGTAGTGCACCCCGCGGCCGAGCAGCCCACGAAATAGGGCGGGTTTCTACCACTAGACGAATCTGATTACTCAGTCAGAACATAGTAAAAGCGTGATGAAGGACCAATACCACTGATCTTCTGGTAAGGCATAGTAGTATCTCAAGATCATTTTCCTCCTGGGTTAGGGGAAGGAGAACAAAGGGACTGAGTCCTGGGCTACTGACACTGACAGGGGGCGGTGTGATAATGATAAAAATCGAATTCGGACTAATTAAAGTGGGAGGGAGGCAGGCCGCAGAGGAATTGACTTATTGTGGATGACAAATCGGGGCGGGGGACGGGGAGGGGGAGAGCAAAACTGACGAATTCCAGCCACTGTAGCCATCTTTGCTCATTTTACGAGTCACACACGACCCACAGAATAGCGTCATTCAATTGTGCACATTACTGTGCATGTACTATGTAAACGCTGAGAACGAGAGCCGAAGACTGAAACCAATTATATTCTGATAGTTAGCTCTATCAATCCCCTGGATGGGTAAGAACATTAAAGGACAGAACCGTGTCTTCTGAAACCTAGTGATGCGGGGAATCTATCGAGCATATTCTTCAAGACCTAGAACAGGTGATGGTAAAAGCAAATTAATCAATCAATTTGGGCGATATAATAAGGTACTAATTCGACGGTTGGTTAGGCCATTCAGGCTGTGTTCTGATGCATTGTGTGAATAAACGTAGACCATTAAAGATTGTGTCTTTCCGTTTCGCGTACATAACTACTCAGCGTTTCCTCTGCTTGCTCTCGGGGAGAAAGTTAGAAATTCAAAAGCCACCCGGCAATTGCTAGTACAGGAACATCCCGCTTCAGATTATCGCGGGCCCCTGAATGGCTGTAGATCAGCAAGCCATGTCTCGGTCTTCATCCGGGGTAAAATTCGCTCGGAAGTGAGTGTTGATGTCTGGATCAAAGGATATTCAATGAGACATGACGGTCGGATCTAACCCTCAAAGTTAGCTAGGTCGCGATATTCATCAGCCGCATGCCGCCATCAACAAATATTCTTCATAGTGAGGCGATTGCCTCCTTCGAACACTAAGGCCAAAATCAGAGTGACCAAGCCTATTCAAAACCCCTTCTGCATTGTTAAAACCCGCCAAGTGCTTTCCTCAAATAGCAATCACAGGTACAAGCTGCGGATAATACAAGCATTGTTCAAGTTCAGTCACATTACTGTCAAAGAGAAAAAAATCCAATACTTACTTATGATTTTCATGACTATCGACGCATTAATGCCAGAAAATCTGGTATCTTGTCATTCGCACAAGTCTCGATATCAATATTTGTCCAGGGTTCCCAGGTTTGATGGCTGACTAGACCGTTCGAGTCTTCTCTGTGGGCGTCTGCCAGTCTTTCCGGGCTGAACAGGTCCGCAGTCCCAATCAGGTTATTCTGGTTCGGCCCAATCGATTCATCTTCCCTATTTCGAGCTTGGAGGTGAACCCCCAAAGATTCAGATAGGCGCACAGTTCCCGGTCGCGTACGCAAAATAAAGGTCATAAAAGCAGCAGCTTCCTCGTTGCTCAATTTACTACTATGCCTGTAGCACTTAAACATTAGTGGGAGGCACTGTGAAGAATTCAGATACATACATGGATTTAGCGGTGTTATGTGTGTTAGTCAAGAATATGCCAAGTCCCAGAGTCGCAATAAGCCACCACCACCATTTTCCAAGTCGTACAGTGCCGGCTACCTGATCCAAGAGCGGCTTGTCAGGCTCTGGAAAGTCAGGTCTGAGCAATTGATGCGCGACAGAACCTTTGCCAGACTTCTTTTCTGTTTTCTGCAGCTGGACGTAGGTGAAATAGAAGATGACCAGTGCGATCCGCTTTGCGAACGGATCGAGGACATCCCTTTTGTCGGCTTTAATCAGTCTAAGGTAGTTCCGTCCACCTTCAAGAGTACCCCATTCCTCTGGAAGCCCCAATTTAGGCAAGATATCGCGCATCTTATAATTGCCGTCAAAAAGAAATCGCAAATTTTGATTGGGGGGAGGTTGTAATCGAAGTTCCTCTGCCCATTTCAACATGCTGTTGAGCTTCGAACTGGACAGGGCCGGGCCATTTTCCAGGCCTTTCTTCGGGTCTCCCCTCGGCCTATACAGTTGCAAGAGTCTGCGATTCATCTCTCTGGAACTTATCGTGTCTGGTGATACCCGCGAGATCATTTGAACCTCATGGGATGGTAAGTTTTGGCTTGGACTGGCCAATGTTGGTAGCCACTGTTCTGGAGAGGAGGCAATTTCAAACTCTTGAGTGCGTGTCGAGTAAGAATAGATGTTGGTTTCAATTCCTCCAAGCGCATTCATTGATTCTGGTGGCGTTTCTGTGGTTATCGGCCCCTGTGTATTGAGCATCATTGGCAGCGGCCTAGATTGGTCCTCAGGGAGTATATTTAGATCTGAACTCGGACCTAAGAGACTCTGGCTGTCTAGAATGGCGTCAAAATCATTATAACTTGGCGAGATGTCCTCCGCAGCCGACACATTATATCCGTTTGCGAGCGGTAGAGAAACAGAAGAGATGGCTAAGGGCGAACTGTGATCTATATTATTGTCTCCTAATTGATAATGTTAGTTCATACTTTTCACTAGAAGAAAAGCTTTTCGTGGCATTATATTTGTGATCACCTGCTGGTTGAATGTTCTCCATCCATTGTTCTCTAGGAATCAACGAACTCGATATGGTAAAGTCGCTCAGTGGCAGAATAGGAGGGTGCGGTACGGACAGCAATGGCCAGGGTTCTGCGATCTTGTCTTCTGTATGATATTAGACATAGATGCAGAATGAGATGAAAGAAACCAAACACATAGAAAATGATACCCGATATTGTATTTCCATCCACCCATGGTTCTCCATAGTTGGTCAATTCCGACGAGGCAGGGCTGCCTGTTGATATCACCGCTTCGACCTGCTGTGCTCCGAAGAAGTACGAACATTTGTGTCCGAGCACTCGGCACCGTTGATAAATCTCAATCAGCTGGCTTGGTGGTATTCCGTGTGCTTTCTCCAGATTGCGTCCAAATTCATGAACAAGCTAGTGCTCCATTAGAATAAGGCCTCAGAAAGATACCGGCGGTCTTCCTGACCTTGGACAAACTATCCTCATTTAGATCTTCCAGACTCTTTCCCCGGCTAGCATCCTATGGTAAAAGCATAAGAAGCTGCAAATAAATCAAGACTTTGATATAACGTACCATGAGGCCAATTGTAAGGTATTCCGTGCTTTGATGACTAGGCCAATTTGCACATGATAGCACAGCATATTCTTGAGTGTATAAATTGTAAGCGGTAATATAACCTGCTGCCTCCAGGCGCTCTGCACAGATAATTTGTTGACGCGTATTAATTTTTCGAAACTTGCACCACAGGCGATCTGTTATGCGTATAAACTGCACCTGAATGAGGCTAATGCGCAGAGGAGAGAATTAAAGGATATTCTAACCTTGACAAATGACTTTCGATTCAATATTTTGGTATTGGTTCCAGGGGTTCGCTTCGGCAACGCAGGTGAGCGGATGAAGTAAGATATTTAAACAGCACTTACTTCGATGCTGATCGATAGACAAATCATCCTGTAGTGAGATTGGTAGAGCGAGAGCCCCAAGTGTTGTTCGAGTCTTGGAGACTTTCTGGCTTTTTGATAAGATTTGGATATTTTGGTCAGTGATCAATTGTTGACTTGGCCTAGGCGCCAACGATGGTGAAGTATGTGCAGCATCAGGCGAAAGATGCTGGATTTATGGGCGACGGCCAGTGCTGATTCCAAGAAAGTGGAACTGATCATGGTTGCTGAGCCCTGATCAATGTTTGAAGTGCTGTTGTGCTCAGATCATGGAAGCTGTTGAACTTGTTCAAATGACCGTGTTTTTGTGTTCAACAGAGATAGGAACTTTTTGTGAGGGCAGTGACAACGGCTGCAGGTGTTCAACTAAAGGCCCGAGTCTAGCACCCCAGGGTCCCACCCGCTACTCGTCACTCAGACAGACCGCAAGCATGAGAGCCTGCAATTTTCTGAACAGGAAAAACAACACATGAACATGATGATTTCACTTTTTCTGGCGTATTGGTAATTTGCTTTCCCTTTTACTGTCAAGGCCCTATGGGAATGCTGGCTGAACATAACGACAAGTCATGCGCTAACCGACTGCAAAGCGCAGCTACTCTCGATTTAAATACAGTGAGGCCCATCCGTGGGGTTTTCCCTGTCTTGTCTCGGTCGAAACCTAAAATGATGGCAGATAGGTTAGAGCTTTGCTTGAACAGAGATTGAATCCGAGCATTTGAATCTTTGCTAGGAGATGAGACGATAGTAAATTATACTCATCAGGCCGGTGGCACGGTGAACCTCGCGCTTTTCAACTGATGGCTAAAATATCGGGAAGAACCTCTATTTGACTGGCAGACACGGCATAATTGATCCGATAATGGCTAATGTCCCTGCTCGGTAGTCATTCCCAATCAACAAACCCACCCCGCAAAATATATGAAGATGCTTGCTATCGCAAACGAGAAATAAGGCAATCAGTCAAGCGCATGCTCTCACGTATTGATACCTCTGAAGAACAAATAGAAGCTTCAGAAGACGTGTTTGGAGGAAATGATCCGTACCTTCTCATCTTGATAGAAAGGAAAGCGCAGCGCAAGAGTAGAACGGCAAAGAAGCCTCCCGCGATAGTCGTATTGATAGTTACTGAATCCACATCCCATGCATCTAACAGAATGGAATGTTCTGGCAAAAGCAGAGACCACTGGTTATAGAGCTTAATACAGTATTCTGGGCTAGAGGTTCTTTATTATAGTCAAGCTGAGCATGAATAAAGCACCTGTGGCGGAGCTTGTCAAGAGTACTATATTCTGCGGGGACAGAAGATCGCACAATACAGAATGTTTCCGCAGTACTACGCAGAAGTTCGAGAGCAGTGTATATTCAAGACTCCGAATACTCCACAATAAAACTCATCAGATTGGTAAAAAATATGACGAAGTTCTCTTAGAATCAAGAACGTCGCTCCGCAGCGTTCGCGCAACATCGCAACAGCGCCAGAGACGGAAAAAGAGCCTGTTCAAGAAGGCAGCAGAGCTCAGTTCTACGCGCGAATCAAATGTGTCTGTGGCCGTTCGGACTCGCAATACTGGCCAAGTATATTACAGTACCTCGCTCCACCCACTCAGTAAGATTGGCATCACGTGTTGACGGATCTGATAAGACTTTCTGAGCCTACTACGAGACATAAATTTGATTCACCATAGTTGACGTATTATCCGGCTCCGATGTGGTTAGTGTTTCGTTAACTGGAAAATTTTCAAGTTAGATCTTTGATCCCCTCGGAGCACCACATCCCTAATCACAATCGACTGGGATTGCATAAAATATCTTCAGGGCGGTGATTGTCTTATGCTCTTACCGGCACCAGATATAGCACAACAATTACTTTCAAAGTAATATCCAGTTCCTTTTTGGCGAGGCGGCGAGGACCCAGATATTCTAAGAGCTTGGCAATGCTCCAAATCAAGAAGGCAAGAAGTGGTACAGTGACTGAATGCGCTGGCTTAGAGGAATGGCTACTTAGTGGAAATCCGCATATTGCCTACTCAGCGCAGTCTTCATGACACGCAATCCCCATGTGGGCCCAAATTCCTGCGGACCAGTAGACTTATCACCCGGTCACAGAGTTCAAAAAACTGCGGGATTTATAATGCAGATTACCTTTTTTATGCAGTGTAGCTGCCTGTGAGCAGTTAGTCATCATGCTTCCTGAGTTAGTCAGCGTGGTTGTTGCTCAGTTATGGTGAAATCTATCCCAGGACTACTTAGGTGAGAGAACAGGGTGATGGCGGTAACTAACCAATAAGGTGTGCCTGAATAAGCAGTTCTTTCGCGAATGTAGCGCTTGTTGCTTGGCTTATGTCACTACATTGATGGAATCTATAACATTACGAATGCACGACCATTATCGCTGTTTGTCGTCCAAGGTTTGAGCAGACTGACCTGGCACACCATCTCACAGCACCTGAATGTCACATTGCCACGAGAGCTGGTAAGTTTGATCACAGACTTGACCAACTTCTCCAGGGTTAGATACTGATGAAGCTGTCCAATATCTCTTGACGGGCACAAGCAATTCGGACTGCCACATTTGAACCGACAGTTTTACGACGAATTTTAAGAGTTACAATCCTTCGCGTTCTGAGGCTGATTTCATCTGTACTCCATTCTTCAGTATGCATCTTACTGAACGTATCTTGGAGCTGTTCGATTTTGTATGATGCTTAGAACGTCACTTTCATTGTCAGAGACTCCGCCAAGGTTCATCCCATGGCCTGGTCGAAACTCCATTGCTAATAAAGCAAGTACTTCTAAATCCAAATAATAGTGTACAGCTAGATGCAATCGTGAAGCCTTCAATCGATCTACCTCAACAAGTCGGTGCATGGAAAGAGCCTGCATTATTTGAACTGAAGAAGTTAGCGTGTTGAGTGATTTGACCATTTTAGGCAGATGGCTAATCTTCGGCTTTTGACTTTTCATGTGACCATAAGAGAACTCACAAAGTACCGGCTCAGTAATTCTATTTCAACAATCATCTCCTGTTCAACGCTGTTGTTGCACCATTACACCATGTTGCACAGCTAGCCAAGGCTCGATGCAATCAATTTTGCTTTGCACTAATTCGCTAGTTCTGACTAGCGTGATTTGATATTCCCGAGCAATTCCCGACACAGAATGCCAATGAGACGAGAGCTGTCACTGACTTAGTATCCGTCCAACCTATTTTCAAGGGCTTAAAATACTTTGAACTTTGTTTCCGTCGAGGTATTAACAGGAGAGGGACTCGCCTGTAATAGCAGTAATATTAGCGGGTAATAGGCGCGGGTAAACTTAAGCCCAATGGAATCGTTAGCTCTGGCATCCTCGGCTGCTCAGAAGTACTTTTTTAACGCGTGAAGGCTATGTTCTTATTTGGATAGCTATTATAAATAATTCTGCCTCGATTAGGCTCTATATAGCCAGCTCTAGGTATTACTATTATACTCTTGTATAGTATCATGTGCTTGTTATTTTTCTAGATTTAGGGTACCTTGGACAGACTGAGAAAATACATCAACAGAAAGACACTGAATCCTAGTGTAACAATAATTAATGAATTAAAGATTTGAATGTGATTATTTTCTTGCACCCAAAAAATTTCATCTCTTCATCACCTCGCAATTGACGATTCTTTACTCTGGAGGACCATCTTGGATCCTCGAACTCTAAAATCGCGCCAAAGAAGACCGGTCTTGACTAGTGCTTACTCGACCCAAGTGAAGATTCTGAGCCGGTGCTTGCATCTGCCCTCTCTTTCCTACCTATGCAACAGCGGTATAAACTGTGTTCAATAGTCCCATTACTGGAATGTTTTGCTGCGAGTCCCGTCCGCTTGCCTTATGCGGATGCCGCCGCTTTTGTGAGGGCAACACGTGACTGCTCATTCTGTGCTCCTGCGCACTCACTGATCTCTCACTGAGCACGCACCAAGTGCTCCGACCGCTCCCGGATCACGTTAGAGGGCTCACTGAGTAATCGCGGATTTTCGGGGCAGCTCCTGGGTTCGACCAAGATTGGATTCCACGTGACTAGCACCAGGCCTCTAAACCGCGTACGAGCTAAAACCCGAGAGTATGAGATAACAACCCATCACTTTTGTGTAGGCATCACAAAGAAGAGGACCTAATAATTCTATTTGACCACTATTCAACATGGACAATCATTTTTTCTTAGTTCATACTGTGCGGAAATGGGAAAGGGCCGTCAGCAATGGTCTAATATTCATCTACTCCACCTCACTCAATAACATAAATATGGACTTCTCGCCTGTGTCCTTCCAGTTCTTTATTATTGATTTGTATGCGAATTCTTCTTTGTCTCCCGAGTCTCATTCTTATAATCCCAATCTCTTCAAACTCATAGCACACGCAATGGCTGCACGCTCTGCTGCATGGAAAGCATCCCAGGCCGAAAAGAGAAGAGAAGCCCGCCGTGAGCTTCGTCGACAACGAGGTTACGACGCCAGTGCTCATATTCGGAAAGATGCAGAAAGGACCAGAGGTAGAGCTTCGGCTAAGACAAAAGAGAATTACAAGCAGAGAGTACGCAAATACGAGGAGTGAGTCTGTGCATATTTCTGGACATGGAGCCTACATTAACACTGCCGACTAGGTTCCTCATCGAGGAAAGAAACATGCCTAAGGGATACAGGATCGGAGAAGGCCACCCAGTTCCCACCTTGCAAGATCTTAAAGCCTTCATCCGTTGGCTTGTCGCCTCCACCAAAGGCAAAATTACTCCTGATGAACGACCTACTATGCACACGATCTTGATCCGCGCGCAAGAGTTTGTCCCAGGCTTCTTCTTTGAAACCGGAAACGAGATCTCTAATCAGGACCGAAAGGACCTCTACTATGTAAGTACTAGATTCTGCTTATGCGATGATTCTACTAACAGCATAGTGGATCGAGCATAATCTGGTCGAAGAAGGTCTCCTCTCAACCGTCAGAAAGCCAAAGTTCAATTTTAAATTAGAAGACTTTGAGCGTGTCATGACTACTCTCTGGTCTGCAGATGACCCCTTTTTTATGTCCGGGCGACATCGTATTCAATTTCATTTTGCCACCCTTCAATTTCTCTATACTGGCGCCCGAGTGTCTTCCTTCACGCCTCCTTTAGCAGAAAGAAAGGGCAAGGGGCTCCGTTACAAGGTAAGTCTCTAGCAATTATTTGCGTTTGACCTTGGCTCTTTTGACACAAAGAAGAATATTCAGCTTGTGTTGTTTCGTGCTCGTGATGTTCCATGGCGAGTCGGATGGCGAGTCGATCAACAATTCGTCAAGAATAATAAAGACCCCGAAAATACAATGTAAGCAGCTGTTTCATGCTTCTGATCTATGTCTAATAATAAAAGGTTCGGTACCGCGCTCTGGGAGTGCGATGAACCCATATACTCGGGAGCCTTATATCTCGTGGCCTTGGCCCTTGCAGACAATGCACTTTTTGGCTTTTCCACACCGGAAGAATTTTTCGAGCAGAGAATCCCAGAAGGACAGAATGAGTTAGTTCTCCGATGGAATGATGAGGCCAGAGACCGATGCATCATTCGAGCCGCAACCGCTGAAGGGGTCAGTGAAGACCCATTGACCAAGGAGAGCTATCAGGCCGATTTTAGAAGGATTATGGCTGCTGCGTGTTACTATATTACTGCTACAGTTCATGCAATGCGCCGTGCCTTAGGTGCAGCCGTCGAAGGTTGGTCGTACTCATCATTTCCCCCGATTCAAGTCTATGTTTTGCCGTTTTACTCACAGCTCGGACAGAAAAGTACTCCCTGACACATACTGCCCAGATTCTAACACAGAAATCTACGGCTGTCTTTGGAAATAATTATCTCGCCGACTGTTCCAGCGTGGATGCCACCAACACTGTTAGACGGAAGCCCGTCGAACATACTCACGTGGAATATTTTCAAGGCTTCGGTCAGTTTCACGAGGCTGGTCTTCCACGTCGACTACCATTCGAAGAGGAGCAGAGTATTGAGGCAGATCCACGCCTGCAAGCCAAAATGAAGGAGCTTTGTGACGTATTAGATGATGAGGAGTCTAAACGTATACATAAAGAACACATGGTGTTGCGAAGAGAGATTTACTCCAAAAGACTGCAACAATACCAGAGTGAATGGGTTCAAAGTCGACGTGATTGGAAAATTTTGACCAGAGGTCGCGAGCGGCCTGACCAGAAACAACAGGTTGCAGAGAAACAGGTGCTGTGCAAGCTCATGCCTGAATTGGGCCGATTAGCGGCGGTCATTTCATCCAATGCGCCTCTTTCATTTGACGAAAAAGCCAGTGTGGTGAGAGATCTCTACACCCAATGTCTTCGCGACTTCGCTGTGGTCTACCGTCCGAAAGAAGAGCCCATTCACGGCTGCTGTCCAGTAGCTAGTTGCGGTGTATTATTGGAGTCGTGAGTAACCCATGCTAATTGTTTTAAGTGACTACTGACGCTCTATAGCAAGTCGAGATCTGGGCGTAATTCACATATCCATGGTTGCCTACGACAAGAATATGCCCGTAGCACGGGAATCCCGCTTCGACAGGTCAAGTATTGTTGGGAATGCTTTACCTTCCACGATGGGAAAAGCAGTGAATTCGAAGAGCACTGTGCGAATCACCTTCCCTCGATGACCAGTCAGCACTACGAGATGATGGTGTATCGCAATACCACCATCCGTGCCGGGTACTGCATTGAATGCATGTGGGATGACCAGTGTTCCGCATCCTGTCGAATGAGAGCCTATGAACGGAGTGACGAGCTGCGAGAGCACTTGCAAGCACATATCAGTATCAGGTCGTGGCCCTCAGGATGTGCCGACCCTTCCTGCCACTACACTTTTACGACAGAGCAAGACTATCGCCGACACCTTCACGACGTGCACCGTTATCACAAGACCATTTGTGCGCCAACAGAAACTGTGCTCAAGAAACGGCCATCATCTGTGTTAGACGACAAGATACGTCCGTGCCAAAATCAGCCCATACAGGATAAGAAGCCACCTAAGCGCCATAAGAACCTCTTCACAATGTCACCACGGGGTGCGAAGGAGTTGGAGATTGTTTTCTGGGACCCTCATGCCGTACACCCGAAATCCATCTCAGCTCACGAGAGACTGCAGGCTTTTGCATGTCAGGCTGAGAACTACAACAGCGCGGCTGTGGTGGGCGAAGACCAGAACTGCGCCAATACCTTGTCGGGCATAATTGACACTCCAGATCTCACAGATAATAGCAGCATGTGCTCGAGTCCTTTCACAGTTAGCTCAGCCTATACTGCGGTGGAGATTGACCCACGGTTGTTAGAAATACCGCCTCCCTTCTTGTTCCGGCCAATTGAGAAGACTGATCAACCTAATGCGTATAGCACCTGGGAGCATGAAGAGATCCAGGCTGGGATCATGCAGCTCGAGATTGGGGACCTGCATCAAATGACCGATAATTCCTTGGAGCAGGAAATCCCTGGCGAAGATGTGGCTTCATCCGAAATGAACATCAGGTCCGTTGAGCAGGCGTCGTCGTCTCTGACTAAGCTGGATGAGGAGCCTGCCTCATACTTGGATCTCAATGCATCTGTTCCCGAAGTGGAGACAGCTCATACTGTCCAAGGCGACTCCAGCATGTGCCCTGCGGAAAGTAAAACTGTGGAGGTATCGGGACTAACAGGGCCTGTGACCAGAGCGAAAGCTCGCGAGCAAGCGGCCAAATCCCCTCGGAATTCTACAAATTCACATAGCGTGAGGCGCAAAGCTTTGCCCTACAGTCGGGAAGAAGATGAGCTACTCAATTTGCTCATGAGAGAGTTAGCTGCTTTCGACGCGGTGACCCCAGCCTTCCAGAAGCATTTTCCTAACCGATCGGCGAGTTCGCTTAAAAGACGCTGGTCTCTTATACAACCGTCATCACGGCGGTCGACTCGATCAAGAATAATGAAATAGCCGCAAGGATGTCATTAGAATATATATAGAACACGTTTAATAATCCTTCACATTGATATCGACTGAAGAATCTAGAACTTTGCTCGCCGCCAGCGTCAATTGTCATCATAAAAACTTACTACGAAGGCTTCAAGGTCCTCCCACTCCATTATACGAGGACGGGACACATTGCGAATATGTTTGTAATCTCTAGTCTCGTGACCTAAATGTTGAAAAGGACGAGCTCAAAGGTGACAATTATGAAAATGGGCCTTTGGGTTATACAAGTTGGAGGCAATTTTCGTAAGCCGTCTTGCATCCTAGATTTTTCCGGCAGAAACTAGAATTCTTACGTCATAAATTTTGCCGGCAGAAGTTCACTGTGCTCTTTTAGGTCCGCGGGTAACCCAAATCTCACATTAAAGATTATGCCGGCAGAAAACTCAGCCATGCATGCGATAGGATATTCTGTCAGCAGAAAAAAAGAGCGCGCGTTAGACTCCATATTCTTTCGGTACAGTAATTTACACATCTGACGGCCTCGATACGTAAGCAGCACAGCCACAAATCGCTGCTTCTAGAGCGGTCGTACATGTTAGCTGTATTGTGACAATCTGAGATTATGTCAAACTTTGTGCCGGCAGAATTTACATGATACATACGTTCAAAGTATATATCGGCAGAAAACATACGTCAGTTATAGTCGTTATTTTACAGTACGGTAATCGACTATTTCACGTCCTCGGTTCCGTCTATGCGTGAGCCTGTACAGCCACAAATCTCTTTTCTACAGCGGATGTTCCTTACAGGCACATAATAGCCTACTGTATTGCGGCGACTTTAAAAGGGCAAATGATACACTTATGTACGGCTCTGTAATGCTTCTTTCCGTTGCTTCGTGGTCCGATCACCTGGGATCCGCCCCTTGTGTTGCAGACTTGCCCTTTTTCTATGCGCATCAATGGCACCAAATTGAATTCAAAAACTTGCTTGTCGTCCAGAATAATTTTACACCCGCACAATGGTTCGAATATTTCCCTCGCTCTCTCTGTTCTACAGTCTGTCTAGCTTCTCAGACAAAGAAATCATGGTTATTGTACAAAACTTGCATTACGTGATGCGAAAATGGTCCAAATAGGATTCGCTGAAAATTATTACGGGAACAAATGAGAAACAAGTGTTTTGGACTAAGGCTTGCCAGCACTAGCACTATCGTCGAGTTCTCAATGAGCTGCCTCAGAGGATTCAATGTGAAGTGCTATGATCTTAGCGGTGGGGTATTATAATCGTGATGTGGACTGGCGAAATATATCGATGCTCTAGAACAACGAGATTCCCTGATTAGTGGGGCTTGTGTGTCCTCCCGTGCTCACTTAAGCCACTGCTTGGAACCAGGACGTTTGTGACGACAGACCCATCAAAGCGCTCTTTGGTGGAGTCGAAGGTTTTGAGAGTTACCTGAACTAGTGACAGACATAATTGACCGTTGTCTACAGTCAGGGTTTCATGACCGACTGTTTTCATTGGCATCTGTTTCGTTGATTTGTTATGCCCCAGGAGAATCACGTTCCATGCTGACATGAACTCCGGCGGAGAGTAAGACTCCTGAGCGGAGTTTGTGTCAAATGCATAAATAACGATTGACCAGGAAGGGCGAAATCAGTACAGTACCATGATTCCTGGACCAATCGTTCACGCTTTGGAGCATGTATGACTGGTATTGGAAATATCATTGGAGGTCAGTCCTGCTACAGTCGTATCTAGGTAGGATAGTGAAGGATCATGGTTCATTCATTGTTTGATTTATCGACGAGGTCTTTGGTTACCCATATCCATGGCGTTAGTCGATGGTATTGGCGCCGCTTGAAGAATACGGACTTCTCTCATGCTGAAATGCTCTGGCTACACTACATCTTCTCAAACTCAAGATCCCAAGTTCAATATATCATTTTAAGAATGTGTTAATGGGAAGAACCACAACCATGCAAGTCGATCTTTTTTAGTGCCTCAAGTATCGTAGGGCCTTTATTAGCAAGCCTATTAGAGAGTAGCCGAGGTAGTAAAAGAGTAGTTTAGTGGCGACATTCCTTCAGTGCGTTAAAGTGGAAATTAGCTGTAAGAAATGTGCTCAACTACGAGTTACTGCATGTGCAGTAGTTGCAATCCTTAAAGCTGGTGAGGCATCATGGACGCCAATCGCACCGGTGGGACATTCACATGACCTAGTATTGCTTCAGGCGGTACCTGCGATAGATTGAACGAACCATTCAGTCTAAAATTTGTTTATACCAGATATTACGACCAACAGTGCAGCGACACAAAGTGAATGTACACCGATAGTCAATACTGTCAGTCAAGATAGTTCTAATTAGGTATAATACGAGCAGCTGCGACATTCAGAGTTTGTTTTGTGACTAACTGCTCTTTTCTTAGGCTTGTTCGGAGCCAGTTTCTAACGGAAGATTATTTTTCCTAGGTCCAACAGTCAGCTGATGTCACTGGACATGCCCAGGTGTCTCCCTCGCGATACCGGTAAATAACTATCCGACCGTGCCATTTGACAATTAACGGAACTATCATGAAATAAATGGCTAACAACAGCTCACCTGACTACAGAGCACTATACCTGGAGGCCGAAAAACGCAGAAGATTGGCCGAGGAGGAACGAGACCTAGAGCGAGAACAAACGCGTCCTACCAGCTTCGGAGAGCTTATTCGATACTGCCACGATTATTTGTCACAGCGACTGAGAACCGAAGCACCATCTCGATCGACCACTGGGAAGATACCGCCACCGATCGGAAAGTGCTGCCCGTTGCGACTTCGGCCGTGGACAGACTGCAGCGCCAATCAAGGGCGTATTTATCGTTCTGTGTGCGACTACCTCCAACCGTCGGACCAAAATGCGGAGCTTTTGTTCCAGCCGCGTCTCTTTTTGAAGGCCCTCGGAGACGAATTCAGCGAAAGACCCATAAGCAGTGAACAGGACCTAGAGAGTTACGAAAGATTTTGCGTTGAAAACCACGTTCGCGATATTATTGCAAAGCTGTGCACCATAGATGCTGCTCGAGACGAATTCAGGTTGGGCAAAGGTGTCCAGTTTGACAACCATGCCAACGCTCTTGACACAGACGAAGAGGACAAACATGGGAAAGATAAGTCGACCGGTTCTCGGCGTTCCAGACCCGACCAATTCTGCATCCATCGCGTGGATGGCGAACAAAAAGCCCTATTGATGACGGTCGAATATAAACCACCTCACAAGCTGTCCGTGGAGAATCTTCGCGCAGGACTCCGACCGATGGATTTCTGGCGTGAGGTGGTCAGGCCGGATTCTGTTCCCACGGAGGGGCCTGAGAAACTAAGATACAACGCCGCCTGGTTGACAGGCTCGGCAGTGGTACAAGAATACCATGTCATGATCCAGGAAGGTCTCGAGTACTCGTATCTGACGAACGGCCTCGCCTTGGTCCTGCTGAAAGTCGACTATGACGATCCAAGCACGCTGTACTACCACCTCTGCGAACCAAATATGGAAGTCAATCATTGGAAGGATGAGAATCCGCTACAGCAGCCGGTGACATCTGTTGCGCGGGTTCTTTGTCTGTGCTTGATGAGTTTTCAATCGCGATATCGAGATCAGGAGTGGAGGAATGCGGCGCGGGCGCATCTGCCGGAATGGAAGACAAGCTTCGACCATACACGTTCACAGATCCCCTCATCAGAATTGCAGCACAATCCACCCGGATCGGAGTATACAGCCTCAGAGTACGCCGGCTCCGAACTTACAGCGTCCGAATATATTCCGTCATCGTCGCCGGTGCAGTCGCCCCTCGAACGTCAGATTGCCACTCGGTCGCGACGTAGCTGTGCACCCTCGAATCCCAAGCCCTGTTCAGAAGACACCGGCCTTTCGTCCGACTCAGAGGCAGACGACGCCACGGAAGGACGGAAACGTCGGTATAGCCAGATACTATCGTCTCCAGCATCCCCTTCAGTACAACAACCGGCTCGCCACGCAGGCTCTCGCCACGGGCCGGGTGGTCGAAGCCAGAAGAACACTGGATCGTTCTGCACTCAGCGTTGCTTGCTGGGTCTGCAACAGGGCGGCGAACTGGATATGCAATGTCCCAATGTCGGGCTTCACCGTAAGGGAGGGAACAGCCAATATCACCTGATCAGGGCAAAGACCATGGTGAAGCAGGTCAAGCAGCAGCTGGACAAAAATATCGACCACGGCTGTACACCAATTGGACATTGTGGTGCATCAGGAGTGCCGTTCAAGGTCACTTGCGCTACATATGGATATACGGTGGTCGGGAAAGGAACCACACGATCACTCTGGCATCAGGTATCCCGCGAGGCCGAAATCTATGGTGTACTGTCGCGAGTGCAGGGATTAGCTGTACCGGTGTTCCTGGGCAAGCTTGACTTGCAAAAGTTCTACTATGTCCACGGTGCTGGAGAAATTCGCCATATGCTGCTGATGGCTTGGGGTGGCGAGCCGGTTGGTCTGAGAATGCAAGAGAAGGCGGTTGTTCGTGAGATTTCGAGGTCCACTAGGGCAATCCGTCTGTCCGGGATCCTGCATAATGACCTTCGGCCGGACAATATTTTGTGGAATGCGGAGTTGGGTAGAGCCCTGATAATCGACTTTCATTGTTCCAAACTGGATCTGCGGCCCATTCGAAAACGCCAACTATCCTCCTGCTGTGGAACTGAGGGAGGCGGGCGAAAGCGGCTTCGTGTGATTTGCAGTTGAGTGCAGTGGGAGCTAGCAAATTGATGCATAGCTAGAAAGGTCATTGGAGGGCCAGGCGAGCTCTGTTTACTCATGTTGTCCCTTCTACGGATCCCTGTCAATACTTGAATAACGTGGCTGTAAGCATGGCAAAGAAAGTAGGTTTGACAGAAATCCAAGCTGCAAAACGAAGCTAACCGGAAACGGAGAAGCTGCAGTTCTTTTAGTAATTGTCGATCGGATATCATACACCTTTTCCTGGATATGTCGAGAAGTCGACAAGTCGTTCCTGGTGCCTGGAGCCAGCAGTCTGCCCTGGAAGCCTCAATTCTAGAGTCCTAATTCTACCAGTAAGCCGGGTTTACGCTTACTTCTCAATGGTCTATTCGATGATGAGATCTATGTGGTGGGCGCTGGATTGGAGACTAATCACAATGGTAAATTCGACCACTTGCCTATATCTTCTTGCATGGAGTCTGATGCTTTAAATGTCAATGAGCATTACATACCGCCGCTCTAGCCTGTGGACGCGGTTTCTCCTCTCGGATTCTTGATCGGAAAGAATTCGAACACACTTGTCGTTAAAGCATTCAGACCAATCTCCTTATTCTGCTCACGCTAGTGGTTTGATACCTGCTGAATCTGGTCCGGGTTGTCTCTTGAAACTAGTACAAACATCATGCGTTGGACAAGCTTAAAATTGGAAAGAGACAACATGTTACATTTTTCTATCGACTAACTTTAGAAAGATTGGGAAACCGAAACCAACTATCCTGTCGATAAAGAAACAAGCCAGGACTCACTCATTTGACGGAAGCAAAAGCATCTAATAACAGCGGATTATATTGCCACGTCAAGATGTTATCTTTTTCATCCGTTAGGTTGTCTTAGAGCATAGCAGGTGCAGAATGTTGAGCCTGTGGGAGTAAAGCGATCATGCAGGTAGACGTTCGATTACCGAGAAGCGAAGGGGTCACTGCTAAATTAAACCAAGAAAAAGGTAGAGTAGGTGAATCCAAAAGCCATCCAAGATAAAAAAGCAAATTTTTATGGCTCAACGTACATTGTTGTGTTGCAACAGGCTTTCGTGGTATGGCGCTCGTATACCTGGGTCGATGGATAGACGGTTACCGCCCAGCATTCCAATTTAGGAAAAGGCGAGATTGGCTGCAGACCAAATATTTAAAGGGCCGGCCGCCAGCACAACTGTATTAACTTCTACTCAGACCTGGACGCCCACAATGTCGCCAAGTCCGGATTCGAAGGTATTTACTTATGCCCAATTTGATCTTGAAGCTCTATGCCTTCGAGCCAGCACACTGAGGCGAGGTGTTCCGTGTGCTTGCGATTCAGATCAACGTCCTTCCTCGGGAAGTTTTAATTGGGTTATCTTCATCTTGTTTGAGGATGGCGTTCGATGGGTGTTTAGATCTATACATTCCAGATCAATCATGCCGGAGAAACTGGGGCTGAAGCTCCTGGAAAGCGAGATCGCCACCTTGCTTTATCTTCAGGCCCATAGCGATATCCCAGTCCCAGAGGTTTATCACTACTGGTACTGCAACCCTTCATCTGCTATACTCACAACTTCTGACTCCTAACAGTACTTCATCTGATAATGAAATTGGTATACCGTTCCTCCTTATGAGTGAAGCATCTGGCCAGCCGTTGTCAGCGGCTTGGAACTCGACCAATGCACCTCAACCTGCTCTGGACAACGTCGGCAAGGCAAAGGTTCTTTCCCAATTAGGGGCAATTACCCGGAAACTCGCTCAGCTACGATTTGATAAAATCGGCTCCTTGTTCCCGGGAGAAGAATCTGTCGAAATCAAGGAATGTCTCTCGCGTGGCCACCTGTTACATGGACGTCATGCTTTAGATATTCCGCGTGGGCCATTTAACTCTCAAGTAGAGTTTTACGACAGCCTCGTCTCAGCATTTTCCGAACATGCAGAGATTCTGCAACTATCTCATCATTGTTTTATGGCTCCCGTACCTTCACGAGAAGACTACGATTCTAGCATGGATTTTGAGAGTGCAGTGAACCTATGGAATGACTTTGTGACTATTGGAGGCAAAATCGACTCATCGGACAATAGATTGGATTACAGGATTATAGGGGATTCTCTTCGCCACATCATACCGCGATTGAACCTACCTGCTGCCATTCCAGGATCATTTCCATTATACCATGCCGATCTCAGTGTCAACAATATTTTTGTCGATGATGATTTCAACATCACTTGCATAATTGATTGGGCGTTCGCTTCAACAGTGCCCGAGTCCATTTTATTGGCCACACCAGGGTTACCACAGTACAGCGACGAACTCGGTCCAGAATTGCACATACCCTTCATAGAGGGTTTCATGACTCCTACTTATGTGGAAGAGGAAATGGGCAACAGATACCGTGAATTGCTTCAACGAGGCCAGGTAGCCTGGAGACTAATTCGCCTTCTCAATCTTGATTCTACCTCTGACTACAACCTCTTTGCTACTCTCTGGGATTTCGTCGGTCATTCTATAGATGGTCTTGGACAGTTTATACTACAGCAGCGGGGTTTGCCCGATTATACAAGGCTTTATGAGGAACTGAACGAGGAAGACCAGCCTATTTTGAAGGTCAAAAGGGAAGAGAAGGTATATTTTCGAAACAATGATGTCAGAATGACAATAGCTAGGCACTTGACTGTCATTTCTGGGTGGAAGGCACAGTGTACTGTCAACCAACCAAGGAAACTTCGACATGATATGTTTATGGCCAGCCCCAGGCTATGGAAATGGATTATCCAAGTCATCCAAGACCGCGAAAAAATGTCTTAAGGATGCATCATGGCCGATAGCGGATACGCTCAACGGGAACCTGCCACAGATCGTTGGTTTCGTCATCCTTGACCTTTAGAGCAATTAGTTTGTATCAGCACGAACCATCGGAAGGATTTCACCGTCTGCAACAGGGTACTAGAAGTTCCTGGATCAATTGTGCCTTTGCACCATTCGGTTTCTGCGACAATCAGCTTCTGTAGCATATCAAACACCGGAGGTGCACTTACTGCCCTCACGGCAGTACCAGACTTTGTTGCCTGCGACATAGTAGGCTCTTTTTTCAGCGTCAGCTGGTGGGACGGGGAGATCTGGTGGTGTGGATGGCTGAGGTCGTTTCTTAGGCATGATGATATTCGGATTCTGGCTGTTTTATCTTATGAAGTCTGTGTATTCAAATCAAGAATCTGCTTCCAAAGCGAAAGATGCTGTTCTTATGCTTGCAGTGCGCGCACTGGCCTCCTGCCGTCACCGTCCTGACACCCTTAATATGATATTCTACGTAAGCTCTCTACATGGATTCCAGAATATTTTTCGCTAATGGAGAAGCTAGTAGAGAAGGAATCAACGTTAGAGAGGTTTTCTTTCGAGAGCGCTTGTTGTTCTACCTAGGTAACTTTTCAGATTCGCGGAGCTAAATTTTGCGGAAGCTGCGAAGATGGAAGCGCCTCCTGCGAGGATGGAGCTTGACTAGCTGGCGGGAACTTCCGCGATGTAAATTAATGACAGTATCTCTAACTTCGCTGGAGTGCGGTTGTGCTTCGACTCGAAAACACCAGCACAGTCCTCTCAAAGGAAGTCAAACTTTAACACTAGGCCATAAGATTGGAAGTTGAAGGTTCTCAAGGGGCGCAGCTCGTGGAACGTTATCAGCTCATTCACGGGCAAAGACGGAACCGAAGCTTCTGTTCTTATTCTGTAGGTTACGGCGGTGAGTGACTCTTTTCTTGATGAGCTCAGACCATTTTCAAGCTACGGAAGGCGACATTCTGAACCGCATCCCAAAATTCAACCAATTATATTCGGGATAGCATGACTAGATCTTGGAGCAATGGCTGATCTCCGAAGCGCGACCCTCAATTTGCCTCACTTCAGATTTAGCTGTGACAAATTTTGTATATGACCACCGGACCGCCTGCGGGACGAGTGATTCGCCCGAGTGGCGGAAGGGGCCCGAGTCCAATCTGTCCAGGTCTGTCCAATCTGTCCATATCTGTCCCGTCTGTCCAGGTCTGTCCAATCTGTCCAGGTCTGTCC